CGTGTATCCATATTAACACCGGTAATGGGGTTTGTGAAGTGTCTCCAGGTTTCTAAAAGAAAATCTGTATCGATAATGACGATATTTGAAAAATAACAGTAAAGTAAATGCAACTTTAATATTTTGGGACGTATAATATTATTGGAACTAGACTTGTATCAATCACATTTTTGCATAACTTTATTATTATTAAAAAATAAATGTTTTTGGCCAGGAATGCACCCGCTCCTTAACCTCATAATTATCCATATTTTATTTTTTTCTTTGAATCTAAGCAAATAGTAGTAATAGGCATCAGCTAAAAGAGTGTGATAACAATAACAAAACAACAAAATTTTTTATATTAAAATGACTGCAATATCAGTTAATTGTAATTATTCTTACCAGAGGAGTGTAAACATTCAAGTACAAACAGTCTTCCGTTGGGTTTAATCCGGGAAGGGGTACATGGACGGCTCCACTTTGGTAACAAATTTTTTCATTTTTCGTGGTGTTTAATATTCCTTCCCATTTTGCTGGCGCTACAGGTGCCTAAAAGTGAATTGAAACATTAAAAATAAAAAGTAAAAATATATATAGGTATGTCTTCGTCCTTACTTGAAATCTTAATTCGCCTATAGGTGGAGCTGCGTATGGTATTTCTTGAAATGCATAAAAAGCATTGTCGTTTGGAGACTGCAGGGTTTGACCTCTTATTTGTCCCTTTGGTAAAGTGACAAGTGTCGGGTCATCTACCTATTTATTAACAAATATGTGATATTTGTGGTACTTTAACTAGATACATAGATATTAATAACTATTTTGTACACAAAGAGGACATTTCAAATTTACAAAACTTTGATAAAAGTTTAAGTAAGCTAATAATTACTTACATCTGCTACAGATGATCTTATTGCATATAAAATCAGTATCAGCAACCCGTTGCACTTCATCATTTCGAACTAATAGCGATAACGAACAAGCTTTTCAATTTATAGAATTTCGAACTGGTAAATTTTTATTCGGTCAAAACTCAAGTGTTCTACTTTAGCACATATTTTTTCTAGTTTTATCATTATCTTTATAATAATCATTTTTTATAAAGAACATACAACAATAGAAAAATTATTATATCAGCACTTAATTTAAAGTGGTTTTAACTGATTTGTATTTTGCATGAATTAACTCAAAAACCAATGACTAGGCAAATTTTGAAGCATTTGCTATAAATACCAAAAATTAATTTCTCACAAGTCTCAACAAAATATTGTCATGTCATATGTAGAGTTTATTTAAATGTAAGAAGACTTATCTAACTAATAATACAAAAAACACAGTACACATAATTCGAATTTACTAATTGTATATAATTTTTGTGTTTAATGTTAAGGTTATTGAATATTCGATAATTATTTTTGAATAGGCATCATTGTACGTACTTATTCTTGTAATGGCTTATTGCCAGTTTGTATAGACATTAGTATTTTATTTGCCAAAAGGTCCCAATTGGAACCCACTTCCATGTGATCTACATCTATACCGAATGATGTTTCTGATGAAACTGATGTTGTTAAAATCACTAATAATGTATATAAATAAAAAGTGTTCCATTTTGAAAGAATGAAATATTCTACAAATATGGATTTCATTGTCTTCTATACAGAGTGATTCAGAACTTATCCAAAAAAAAATTCTGGATGTACAGGGGACCCTTATAAATACAGTTTTGTAAAGAAAAAATCAAAAAGGGCAGATCGAAAATGATTTAAAAATACA